AACGAAGCCATTTAGTCAGACCTATCCAAAGAATGTATGTATTACTCGGTTATAATAAAGCTATAAATATTTGTTACATTGCTAATAAGGTTGGTTTATGTTCAGTTTCAAGTATACTTATGACAAACTTAAAATGTTATTGTTAAAATTAACATTGATTAAATAATACTTTTAATAAAACAATCTACTTAACTTATGCTGTGATGGGTGGGAGTAATAAAACAATAGAACGATATAAATTACTGTCACACAATCTTCTACCTTCTTTAAAGCGTTGATCAGCGATATCGCTACTTCCCGAAATGTTTTGAAGAAATCTGTTATGTTTTACTTTGCCGCACAAGAGTATTCCAGCATTTGTTACCGGTATGCCAGCCTTGCCGCCAACTGGAAGTTGGCTGCGGCCGGATATGCTACGTATTTTGTGGCGGGAAAATTCTGCGTCTTTGAAATAGTTATTTGCTAAAATATCAATCGATGTCTCTTATATTTATTAATATCAACTAACCAAATATTAATATATTTCTGTCACAAAAGTGACAAATTTCTACAACAAAGACGTTATATATTCATAAAATTTATTATTAGGTTAGTATCAAAAATATAGTATATGATAATATGTATTATGTATTAGTTACAAAATTTGGTACATGAGCATTGTTATCATCTTTATTGAACATATTTCTTGAGAACATTACTTTCTAATGTACAAGTGGTTAAAAGTACTTTTTCATCGAAACCATTTAGTCAGATCTATCCAAAGAAAGTATGTATCACTCAGTTATAATAAAGCTACAAATATTTATTCCATTGCTAATAAGGTTGGTTTATGTTCAGTTTTAAGTATACTTATGACAAACTTAAAATGTTATTGTTAAAATTAACATTGACTAAATAATACTTTTAATAAAACAATCTACTTAACTTATGCTGTGATGGGTGGGAGTAATAAAACAATAGAACGATATAAGTTACTGTCACACAATCTTCTACGTTCTTTTTATTCTCTTAACACCCTCATAAAGCTTCTCATATTCTTTAACAAATTTGGGCCACTCAGTGGTTTAGTTAGACAATTAGCATTCGTTTCTTTATCTGGCGCATAACAAATTTGTAAGTTCTTAATTTTTACTACATCTCTTATATATCAACATTTTTCTGTGTAAAAGCTTAGATTTAATTTTCTACATTTATCGCACTCAATCTGTCACACATCAATCTTTCTTACCTCTTTTTCTTCTAGGACTTCACATGTCCTCAAATATCTTAATATTTCCTTCAATCCATTCATGTCCATCATTTTAGGATTATGATTAAACTGTGATAAGCATCTTACTGCAAATGAGAAGTCTGGGGAGACATAAATATTCAAATATGTGAGTTTCCGTAATAATTCTTGATGTGCGTTTATCTTGGATTAAGTTATAGTGGATTTATCCTTCTTCTTAGCAACTTCAATGTACTGTTGTATCTTGTCTGGAATCAAATCATGTTTTATTTCTTTTTGATTTAAAAAACCTAAATGTCTTGTCTCACAAACTCACCTCCATTGTCTAAGCATATAAGTACTTCTCAACTTCTTGACAGATTGATTTTCTTTCAGTGTTACCAATATTTTTATTTCCTCAGCTGTCTGACCCTTTTCCTATAAGAGAAAGAAAAAAATAATCACTCTCGAATAATCATCAACAGATAAGATGTACCTCTTACCTCCTTTGGACATTGGCTTTATTGGTTCAATCAAGTTCATGTGTCACAGTCCCATTATTTTTGCTGTTTTTATAGTTTCCAAGTTCTTATGGATATTTCTACAGATTTTTGGTACAAAGCAACATTCACAGTTTATACTCAAGATTCATCTTTACTTTCCATAACTATTACCAATTATTCATTCTCCATCTCTTCAATGATCCTTATTTTTGCATGTCGATACCACACATCTTTCTTTGTTGATATATATGCTGCCTCTTTTTTGTTTCTTCAATCCACATAATATGCATTTCTTCTCCTCATAGCTTTCATTTGAACTTCTCCCTTTTCTTCATATACCCCAGCTCCATTATTCTGAAACTTAACACATTAGCGATGACCAGTAATTTTGACTACTGATATTAATATTTATTCTGATCAGAACTACAACATACCTTTCAATCTCACCTGTATTCTTTATATCTTGTTATTACAAGAGGTCATCACCTAAATTAACTTTATTCTCTTATGTCTGCCTAAACAATCTCTCTTTTCTAAACATTTCATCGTCACATATTTCTATTTTGTATGTCATATAGTTAGCCGACCTAGAATTTTTACAATTTTAAACCTTATATATTTAGCAATATCATACCTTACATATTTGTATTACTGCTTCAATTTTTTCTAATCGGCACCTAATTCCATAAGTCCAATATTTTTCTCCTGTTGTACATGCTTGTTCATTTCAACAGAGTATTGTCTTCTTAAAACCAGGCTCTGTGATCACTAATGAAAGGTAAAAAAACAATGGCTTATATCTTACAATATTTATGTACACCTTCAGGTTATGTTAATACAAAGACACATTCTTTTGCATGATGCAGGTGCACCTCCATGGACACAACAATGTTTCCTGCGTTTTTGGCAATTTTTTCTTATTTCCCATACACTCTCCTGTACACTTAGAGAAAAATTAATAAATTACACAGTTTCTGTTATTAATTTATTAACTTTTATAATTGATTTGTAAAGGCGTACAATTGGCGTACAATACAAAAGGCGTTTCCCATGTTATTGTAAATATAAATTTCTTCCTAATTAATTAATTATTCGTAATTATTGCATGGAGTGTTTGAACTAATACCGAACATACTGACAATTTTTCATTAATTACTATCTTCTATGCAATTAATATGTGATATTCATAGATTCAATATGGAAACAATATTCTAGCACATATTCTTATATCACTTTTGTTCATATTTTTCTTATAGTTTTGTTTAATCGTGCCGATTGTTATTAAATCATGTACGTCTTTAAATAGTTATTAATAACAAGCTGATTAGCCACAAATTAGCTCTGAAAATTGCATGAGAATGTTGAACAAAAGTCCAGCTTTGCGATGTAGCTATAATAGTTCATAAATTAATCGTAGGAACATGGAAATTTGTGATATTTATTGTAAACAATTTGTTATTAACAACCAGTGTAATCATTTATAAACTTTTTACAAATTATAACTATTTAGTACTTTTCATCAACTTTGGTGATCTATACCTCAGTAATTTATTATATTTCATAATTTCATGCGGTATTTGATACGCTGAAATGTATATAACAAATGTGATATAGTAGCAGAACGCAGTTTTCCATCTGAAAAATTGACATTTGACCGGCTTTTCGGCGAAATTCCCCAATGTGCGACGTGACGCTCGTGAGCTACTTGGCCGCTTGAATTTGAGTATCTTATATCGCTGAAAGTTAGAAGTGTCTCTCTACAAACTTCCACAGCTTCTGCTTTTACAACGGGTTATCCACAAACATTTGACGATGAAAATCCTCGACTGTCTCTTCCTTCTTCGATGGTTTCCTACGACCCTTTAAAACTTGCCAATAGGTGACACGCACGATCATTCATCACATTCGCCAAATAACCAAATATAGCCAGTGATCAATACTGTCCTTGGCACTGAGCCTATCAGATCCTAAATAGTCGTTCTTAAATTCTTTCATTTCTTCGTCTACCATTTTTTTGACAGGTCAAAATTTCCTCTTGCACATTACTCGATGCAGATACTCGTATCGTCCGTACAAGTTTTTCCTCTCATCACAAATCTAGGAATCACTGATGCGATACAGGCTTGAACTCTACGAGTCTCTGTTCTGGACATCTGAAAACCCTTACATGAGTTTTATCTTCCACTACTGTCGTTAGTTTCGCAGGATCTTCCTTTGATCTGTCAGACCAGTCCCAGAATCGAGGTCTAACAGCTGTCACATTGACAGGTCACATTCGTTTCCTATCACAATCACCTTTCCTATCACAATCACTGCATACGTGATTGTACACTAGTTGCATAACGTGCATTTCTGAATAAATTGTCTGAAGGACTTAAAATATCCTCACTAACAACATACATTCAATCTGTAACTGCGCTACATTCTTGCGTTAGACACGTTAGACACTCGAGACAGGGTACCAATCCTTAACATCACGCAGCATCTGTCCTCCTCGTATTCCTCCTCATAATCTGTCCATCTATGCATCATGCTTCCGCAAAGAAAAATGTTCAACGACCTCGCTCTTCGTGAAGCTCGATCATAAAATGCAAGGTGACAAGCAAAGACCCGAGCAACGAGCTGGCATCGTGCTACGCACACCTGAAACACCATCCTTGCATTTTCAAAGCCTGGTACAAGCTTCATCGACCATGCAGCGGTGAAATAATTGCGTCCACTTTGTCTTTGCTCGTCGGAAAACAAGATCGTGGACGGTGTACCGTTCATCTTTCGCGAAGAGTAAACGGGCCGACCGGCTGGCAGGGTCGCGGGCCAGCGCAGCCAGCCACGGTTAACATCATCACGTAGCATGTCGCGTGCGTGTTAGCACAATGTCGCTGCTAAATGTATGGAGGACGTTGTCGTAACACTCACGTTTCAACCGGCACGAGTGGCTGGAATAACGTGCCTCTAGCGTTCGCATTTTAGATCAGTCGGCGTGCACCTTTGCACGTTTGCAACCGGGACGGAACGTTTCGACGGGACTGCGCAGAGAAATCTTTAATGCTTGCGAGACCATGCGTTCGTGCTCCACGTTTCTCTTATCGAGATTCCTTCCGCTTTTCCCTTGTACCAACGTTGGCTGAGTCTATCTCGCATCGAACGACTGTTATCCAGAGATCGGGACCACCGACGAGGATCGCTATCCTGGTTAGTCGAGCGTTTGTCTTAAAATTACACGCGCGATGGAAATCCCTGGTAACTGGAAGATCTAATTAACGACTCTCGTTTTCCGCCATTTCAGAGGAATGCGGGCTACGCGTAGCGGTGCTAGTCACGGCGGCCATTTTGCGAGTCTACGTCAGTTCCTCGAGTTCTTTTACGCAGTAGTGATTTTAGTCAACGCTAAGGTATACACCCCTCGGTGTATTAATCCTTTGACTACCACGAAATCACATGGCTCGCTTAGAACGCCGCGGAAGTATTTTTATTATTCAAAGCATATAATGGCAAAATAATAATAAATTGGCGGTCACGGTTGACCACCGGTGGCGCCTTGGTAATGGTTGATAATCGACTGACTGTCAATTTTCACTAAATTTTTACAATTGTAAGTAGTTCAAGCGCTCCAGCCACCAATGACCACCGTGACATGGCCGCTCATATATAACCAACGTGACAGTCAAAGTGTTAAGAAATTGAAGAAGGTTATCGAAGGCATTCGAGCTTATTCTTTTATTATTTTATAGATTCAACTACTTCTTCTCGTTTGGATATCTTGAATTTTTGATATCATTTTATTATCAAATTCGGGAGGTTCTTTGATATGGATGATGGATTTAGTGAAGGAGTTATGTGAAATTTGGTTTGCGTAGTTAGGTTGCTAGAATTGACAGCTTCTTGCAGACACTTAAGCGAGTAAACGTTTTATCAAATAATTGATCAAGGATAGAAGACTGTTATTCGCTGTCATGGTCAAAAAACGCAGCTATTACGGCGAGAAGATCTGTTTAGAAAAATAAAGAGTTTACGGATCCTTTTGTTATATTTCTCTTCGAAATCCAGCTCCAAAAATCAAAAAGTTTCGCTCCGAAGCGGGATTTATCTTTGCGAATGATCTTCCATTCGAATTGTTGCGCGAAGGAAGGTTGAACCGAACCATGAGATAGCGTAGATAACTATCTTCCCATTGTCACGCAACAATAATCCTCCAAATGTCTCTTCCACTGTATCCATTCTGTATACGAAGCAGGAAACCCGACAATTTCGATCGAATATTTCCTTTTTCAAAGCGCTTTCCCAGATCTTCGTCCCTTTCTCCGCAGCAACATCGTTTTGGAGTATTTAATGAAAAACACACTGGCTCTCGAAGCAGCAATTAAACTCTACATTTAAAACGCAAAATTAAAGCAGCACGTAACATTTATAATTCGTTTTATGCGAAAATTTTGTAACGAATGAAACTTTTATACGAAATTAAAATTATAATTTCCCTCTTTTAGAAATGTGAAAATTTTTCATTGTCCCCGTTGCAAAAGTTTCTTCGATTTACCATCGATGGAATAAAAATATTCTTGGAATCAGAGTTAATGACACTCAAACGCGATTGCCACGACTGTGGTATCTAGGTACAAGAGTAACAGCTATTGACCGAGCAGAATTTGCCTATGTGTCTATCGAAGGTCTACCGACGACCTAGTTTTCACGAAGACTATAATCAGTGCCAGTGTATACCTAGAAGTCGCCCTCGGATGAGAGGTAAAGTCAACGTGGAGAAAGACGGGGTTAAAGAGAATAAGTAGCTGGGATGTAATGGTGAAGTACAGTTTCGAAACTAAAATTCCGTTCTGTCGAGCGAACTAATCAAGCCACTGTAATCAAACGCTCATAGTCCCTGCACAAACTCGCTCTCGTTACTGAATTTCACGTCGCGAAAGCGAGGGCTAATCAGACTGCACGTCATAATGCGGCGCGTAATCATTGACGTTCGGCAAAACAAAGGAATCGATTGCCATGCAGAATGTGCAGTGATTAGCGAAGAAGTAGCGGGGCTGTCAAAATTGACCCTAATTCTGGCAATGTGCAATTCCCCCTTTTTCCTTGTCTCTTCACCGCTTGGAAATACCCTTCGTGACGTGACGAGGATTGATTCTTCAAACATTTCCATCTCTTCTGGCTGTATTTCGTATCTTATCCGCGATGGTTGTATTTGCGTTTTATTACACTCACTGCTTATTAACTCTTTGAATATGCATTTTGTTCTTATCCGCGATGGTTGTATTTGCGTTTTATTACACTCACTGCTTATTAACTCTTTGAATATGTATTTTTCCGTGTATCGAGTACTATGTTGTGGTAACGATTGATTGAAGTACTATACGAAGATGTAGGGTGCAAGTGGTTTAATTAGAGTGGTATAGAAGTACAGTATTTTACTTGTGACATCTTATGATTGCATTTGCGTTTTATTATAGTCACTGCTTATTAACTCTTTGAATATATTGAATATTTTTTCGTGTATCGAGTACTCTGTCGAGGGAATGATCGATTAAAGTACTATACGGTATTGCAAGGTGCAAGTGGTTTAATTAGAGTGGTATAGAAGTACAGTATTTTACCTGTGACATCTTATGATTGTATTTGCGTTTTATTATAGTCACTGCTTATTAACTCTTTGAATATGCACTTTTTCCCATATCGAGTATTCTGTTGTGATTGTAATTGTAATGATTGATTGAAGTACTATACAAGGATGTAGGATGCAAGTGGTTTGATTAGAGTGGTGTAGAATTACAAAATTTACCTGTGACATCTTATGACTGTATTTACGTTTTATTACACTCACTGCTTATTAACTTTTTGAATATGTATTTTTTCTCGTGTGGAGTACTTTGCCGAGATAATGATTGATTAACGTACTAAACAGCTATGTAGGGAGCAAGTGGTTCAATTAGAGTGGTGCAGAATTACATCTTATGATTGTATTTGTGTTTTATTACACTCACTGCTTATTAACCCTTTGAATATGTTGCATACTTTTTCGTGTATCGAGTACTCTGCCGAGAGAATGATCGATTAAAGTACTATACGGTATTGCAGGGTGCAAGTGATTTAATTAGAGTGGTATATAATTACAATAGAATGTTTAAAAAATTATAGATCATTTTCTTCTTCTTTGTTACATTTTCGCGTGCAAAATGATTAAATCTACCAATTTGAAAATTTATTTAGAGGTGAACAGCGTCTTTTAACATTGCTAATGTCGATCACGCGCGTTCGTAATCCCCATACGTGCCTATAGTAATCAAGGGGTCAAGTTCGTGTGCCTTCGTTTCTCGCAATTGTCGTCTGGCTTAAAATTGCAGTATGTCGGTATAAATTATATAAATAATTCATTTAATATATCTTCAGATTATTCGATTTTATAGTATCGCAAAATTATAGCCTCGAGTTGTATCGATATTTAGTTCGATGTTTAATTTGCACTCTTTGTGATGGGAGAGATCATATCTCGTTCATTAAACGTTTAATAAACAACTCTTGCCGTGTGTTAATTAACGCAAAGTGATATTATCGAAATAATATCGTAACACGAGTAGAAAAACACGGAATATTATAATTCAGCGAAGGAAATTAATTCTCGTGCGTCCAATATCCAAAATTCCTACATAAATTTCTTCGATACTCATACATTCTTCCTCCATTTTATTTTTTCGTTGAAAATATACCGCACGCATCTATCGATATATTCGTAATAATTTTTAAATTAAATTTTCTCGAATCGATCAAAATTTTCCCCGTTGAAACCACGCAACGAATTTTCTGCTCGTCTGTTGTTTAACGATAACAAATTCGGTTATCGATCCAGAATTATCGAATTCCGGATAGACCATGCCGAATTTTCCAGTTTATTCTAAACCACGAAGACTGGGATAAACGATAATTCGGTCTTTACATGCCGCTGACGACTAATTTATTACCGTGGCAAAGTAATTCCATTCAAAGCGTTTCGCGAGAGCGTTTCAGAAATTAGGTGTCTAAGGACATGGATTAATTAGTTGGCGTGTCACGTTAAACGTTGTTGCCTTTTCGCAGTGTAACCAAAAGTGGGCAACAAGCCAGCAAGGCAAACGCAGTGAGCGACAGATGGAGCAGAAATTTCCGTGACTGTTGAATCGTAAATTCATCTAAACGATTAAATTAATGACGTGTGAAGTAACGAGCAGGCAAAAAATGAAGGCAGGTCGAGCGTTAAATAAAAAAAGGTATATATCTTGCGGCGAATAAAAAGAGAGCTTCGCCGTCAAGTGGACATTATTCCCGAATTGTCACTGAACTGGAAAAAAAAAAAAGGAACAAACTCGAAACGTGCCATTACGGAACGTAGAAATGAAAATTATATGAAAAATGTTGACATTCTGTTCGGTGCAATGCTGAATTTTTAATGGTGACCTTTTTTCATTTTTCCCGTGTGCCAAATTCTCCACGATACAGTCGAGTGGCCAATTTTTCCCGCAAAAATGTTCATTATCAGACAAGTCCCCTTTTTACGATTTTCTCTATAGAACGAATTTCGTACCCATCTCGAAATGCGAGGTGTGAGTAAAAAATAACGAGGATATTTATTTATCAACGCTGAAATTATTAAAAAGCGTTCGAGCCACGGTTTTTCCAGACACGTCGTCGTCGGTGAATGATCGTTAAACTATCGGCAAACTAGGCATCCAAGATGGCTGAAAATTCCCATTAGTCGATCGCGTGTAGTACCCACTGTACCCGAGTACGTAATACTCGCGAGAAAGAGTGGAAGAAATTGAATTGGGAAAAGAAAAAGGCGAAATTAAGACACCTTACTTTTCAAAGTGCAATAATAAACGAGCATGTAGGCAGTTCGCGTGAACACGAGTATCCATTTGAATACGACCCTTAGAATGGAGTGACGAATCGTTGGTCACGATGAAAGCGCCACGAATTTGCCTGTTCTCGTTCAACCCTCTGTTTTACCTCTCGCGAACGTATATTAAAACCGAAATCGGGCAGAATAACTCGTGCACGATGAGGCGTGTGAAGCCTCTTTCGCTTTGCTGCTTTGACAGAAACTTCTTCGACAGGTTCATCATCGGCGATGTAATCCCTCGCAAGTAATTAAACTTCGTTTAAAATAATTAATATTCCCCGCGCTTCCTTACGCCCCGAATTTTATCCGGCGAATAATTACCTCCGGGGCCATCACGATAAAAGCACGTGACGCCAAGAACCACGTAAAGCTTACCCAGGGCAAATACCGAATATTCAAATCGGCCTGGTCGATCGACGCTGTGCGAATCGGCGAGATCGTCCCTACGATCTTAAAATCCTCTTTCTCGAATTTTCACCCCTATTTTAACGAATGCTTGGAACAAGGCAAATA